ACATAAATTTTTAGGCTACTGTAAAAACCCGCATATAAGAACCTAGGATTTTTCAAGTTAGCCTCCATAGGTTCTTATAAAAATGGTGTTTACTGTGAAATTAGGCCACCTAGGTTCTTAATCAGGTTCTTAAATTTGTTTAAAAATAAACAACTTGTACTCATGGGTGTGCCTTTTATGTTGAATCATTCAGTGTTTTGGCTAGAATTTGTTCCCTCTGTTTGTATCGTATGTGATGTACTGTATTATATCTTTGAAAAAATACTCTATATTTTTAAATATAAGAACCTGTAATGAGATTTTAGCCTAAATTGGTTCTTATGTGAAGGGTGCGCAAGTGGGAAATTTTAGCCCAACAGGTTCTTACATTTTAGGTTCTTCTACGCGGCTTTTACTGTATACCAACAGAACACTTACATTTCTGTAACTCTTCCCAAGTTGTTAAATGCTCCTGTCTGAACCTCGCTGATGCTGTTCTGTCTCAGATTTCTGCACAAAGCAATTGTTACAAAATAACTTGGATTTAGCTCTTGGAATGAACAACATATCTTAAAGGAGCTATGTCAGAGTTTGTGCATCTTGAAAATTTTAGCTTAAATTTCTTTTGAAATTTTAATGTTATAATTTTTTTTGATTAAATTTCTCACGTTCGTCGTTTGTAATCCGTTTTGATCTACTCCATCCTTAACTATCCGTGTTCCTGTGTAGTTTATTATTTTACCACAATTGCTACTATTCTCGCAATCTGGACAGGTAATTTGCCGTTACCGATAGGAGTCCAGACAACGCTGCTCGCGTCAATGTCTCACGCAATGCCTTTTTCAGCTCGCTCTCTTTGACGCTGATATTGTCGTACAAAACATATCGAATGTGGATTAGCGTTGTCTGTACTCTTAGCGACAACGATACGCAGCATCACAGTGGTGAAAATTTGTAGTCTACAACATTTTGACGCTAAACTACATTCGATTTGTTAATTAGCTCTTTGGTGTATTTTTATCTTAGTAAACTACTATTTTTAGGTTTCCTTCAATTGAAAGGTAATTTTGTACATGGCCAAAGTACTGTGACTGAGCTCCTTTAAAAGTAGTTAAGTTGAGAAAAGTGTCTTGGTATTGGGGCATTATTTTTGCAGTTGGCAGCTCGTTATTGTTTCATGTACCATTTGAACGTCATCCCACCAGACTCATTTAACGATGTCTTACCCGGTAAAAAAGCTTAGGAAACAGCTTTAACAAGTTCTGAGACGATTTCTTTTTTAAAATAAACGTCATTGCCACTGGAATTATTTTACATTCAAATAATAGTGAAAGATACTGGTGAGACAAAAGTTGCCATGAGCTAATCTACATGTCAATCCCAGGTACGTAGTTGTGTAAGTTGATATATCTTTCAGTACTTACAATTCTTGTAAGCTTGTTTGATGTTGAAATAAGTTGGTTCCAAGCGCTGAAATACTATTTTGTTGAAGTATTCTGCAAAGCAAAATTCAATTGTTTAATTCAATTTAATTGTGAAGCAACTCTGTTTGATGTACAACAACGAAGAAAACTTCGGAATCACAATAAAAAGGAAACAATCCTTGACTGAAAGTGTGCTTTAATCTTTTTTAATGGATTGCTGCAGTTTGCAATAACGACCCTTTCCACTCAATGAACTGTTGCTAAGCAAATGCAACCTCCTCATTTTGAAAAAGAAGCTTTTTTAACAGAAAGCTTATTACTTTGTTATTAAATTTATCAAACTGACAAACTGAGGCTAGTAAATGGATCCAGCTCTCAAGGTTGGAGAGTTATAATAAGTATTAAATTTATCAAACTGACAAGACAAAAAACTTACAGCCTTCTGAGGCTAGTAAATGGGTCCAGCTCTCCAGGTTGGATGGTTAGGATCTTATTATTGGACATGTCGCTAAAAAAGAAAGTCACCAGTTAATCGACCTTGCCTAGTGATCAATGATTTGACAGTGATAAGAATAGGCCACGTTCGATATATCAATATTCTAACATGGCTCCGAGCCTTTCGGGTCAAAACTGTAAATTTTCTAAATTCCCAATAGAGACTTGAATACAAAGAAAACAACACCAAATATAGAAGTTTGTCCCAAAAGCCTCCGAGCCATGTTAGAATATTGATATATCGAACGTGGCCTATTGTGAATAGACAATAGCAAGACTATCTCATAGTTTTTCAGAAACTTTCAGAACTTCTCATTAGAACATATAAAGTAAATAATAAAGGTAAATCTTGTTCTACACGGGACGTTTGTGAGGTTAAAATGTTTTTAAAACGCGACGTTTCG